CAGTTTAGATTAATAATATAACTACAATAGTATTTCCCTATTTTGGACTAGAAGTCTATTTAAACAAACACGCTAAAGAAAGAAAAGAAAACTTACTTAAGACTTGGAGATTGCTTGAATATGTACACTTGAACTTTTATTGATGTACTGAATGTTTACAAAGACAGTGTTTACAAGGAAATGTTTACAAGGATGCTATGAAGGCTACATATAAAGATGGTGTGAGTATATGGTGAAAGTATGGTGTTCAGGTGTTGAAATGTTTTGTGTTAAGGTTGTGGTTACAATGAATAGAATTTCTCCTTATATACACTAAATGAGGATACTAGCATACAAAATTCTTTACAATTGAATGGTGTGCATTATCTTCCACTTTTTGGCACTGTTTCTGAATTTGTAGACATTGTTTCTGATTCTGACGGGATCTTGTCTTTTCTTTCTTTTGCTTTGATAAAGGCCATGTGAACCCATGTGATCCTCCTGCATGGTTTGTCTCCTGGAGCCCATGCCCTTACTTTATCATTTTGCATTCAATTGTTACCTAAAGGTTTTCAAGGGTTGCTACATGTTTTGTTTCCCTGGAGCCCTCCTTTGTCATCTTTCTTATGCCCATTTTGGTTATTATCAAAAAATTCTGTCCTGATAATTAAAAGGACAGTTTTTTGGGGGTTTTGGTTAGTTTTCCAAATAATCAAAGACTCTCACAAGGGATGTCTTAGAAAATTTCTTAAATTCTGTGGTGCAAAAATTAAGGGCCAAGTAACTAGCCACTTTCTGTGCATCCTAAAAATTGGGGAATGCGGTTAAAATAAAACAACATGAATCAACCACTACAAAGGAACATGAAGTGAGATAATGGGAATTGCAACCCCAGCTTTTTATGCCTATAAAAGGCCTAGAATCCCACCAGAATAAGTGGAGAAAAAGAGAGAGGTATGAGATCGTTCTATATTTTATACACATCCTAAACAAAGACTGACTTGAGCGTCGAAGTGTTTTCTTACAGATCCCCTGTGCTCTCATTGATGGCAAGTGATGGTGCCTAAAGTTTCTCAATGTGTTCAAGATTACTTGTTGATGGAGTATTAGAGTACCCAAAATTTTTTGCGCCAAAAGTTGGAGCCGTCGGTGGAAACTTTATGAAAAGTCATCTTGAGAAGCAATAGATATTGTCATGGTATTGGATTCAGTTTAAATTAGCATGTAGAAAACCCTTGATGTGGTTGACAACCAATTGAGTGGGGGCACAGGCTAACACTAATATTTCCGGAGAAGAAGAAACTACATATAACATGGAATTTTCAAATTCGTTTGCACCAATTGGATTGGCGGCAGAGGGATGCACTAGGATAATCCTTCAAAAGATTCAATTTATTTATTAATTTTTTGTAGAGACGGATTAGGCGAGATTAGCTCTTCGTCAATCGTCGCATGCGATGCACCAACCCTCTCCTAAAGGAGAAAAGACCGTTGCACCCAGAAACCCCCTGCCTGTCTCCCCCTCTACAAGATTTTATTAATATAAGAAGAAAAAAGAAAAAGAAAAACAAACAGAAAGACTAGGTCAATACCCGTTAAAAACAATTAACGAAAATGATATGGACTAGTTTAAGATTGCTTAGCTTCAGTCACCTGAAATTGATTTCCCATAATTCAGCTGCTTATATTTCATTCCCAAAATCCCTCTTCCATAGCAACAATTTGCTCCTTATGAGCTCGAACGGAAGAATGGAAGCCCGACATAGTCTCTTCTATAAGACGCATCAGCAAAATTGGGTACCAAGTCCCACCACATAAAGCTACTATTCATTGCACCAAAATTAGCAAAAGTATCCGCCAAACAATTCCCTTCCCTGAAAATATGCAAAAAATGCAAATGCAAGCGAGCAATATGCCATAAACAATTTGCCCAAGAAACTTTAAGAAACCATGGAACATCCATGGAGTAAGCTGATAGTAGGCTGATGACATGCATAGAATCTATCTCTAACCAAATGTTATGCCATTCTTTATCCCATGCAATTTGAATTGCCTCGATCATAGTCACAATCTTTGCAACAACTGCACTTAGATAAGAAGACGAGGATGCAAACGCTCCTAAAAAAAGACCACTGAACTCCTGAAAATAGTGTTCTGGACACAATGAACTCCTTGTCTAATAGTCGTGACCTAAAAAGCGAAGCGGATAATCTGAGCATTTTAGAATTCGTTTCGGCATTGATATGGTGCCGAGTTGATGAGGCTTTAGCCTTAAGAGAATTGACACTGAAGAGAGAATTTGAGAAGTAGCAGGGGTACAAGAACGCATTGTTTGTGAAACCAGCAGTTAGGGTGGCTTAAAAGGTTCAAAGCAGAAGACAAGCTCAAGCAGGCGAATGTGTATGGTGTAAGACAATTTAGAGACAAAGAGACATTAGCGCCGCCAACTAGTAATGGCGTCACTCCCAACAAACACCGCTGCAGCGTTGCTCTAACCAATTAAACCACCTGAAGCCCGTGTCATCATTTTTTAATCCAAAATTGGGGCACAGATTAAAGCCTCCAAACCGATAAGAATTCTTAGATCCTCTCCTTTATGATTCATCATTACAGCTCTTCATGCAATAATACTGAATAAGCGCAGTGTTCAAATCATTTTCACGAGGAACTAAATGCATGGATTGCTATGTCATGTTTTGTTTATAGAAGTAACGAGTTAATGCTTTGTCGCAACACAAATGCTTCTTTTTATCTATAAAAATTTACTAGCTTCTCATGAGCGTATTGATATTAAGACCGATAGGGAAATGCTTTTTTCGTAATGATATCATTATGCGTCGACCCTCAAGAGTCAGGGGAACATTTTTTTGCTTCATTCTCCAATTAGACAATCTCACTATTATAATTTGAATCATAAGTGCTGCTCTATTTTGCCAATTACAACCAGACTTTGTTGACTATCCACACAACTTTACTATGGGACTTGGATCAAGACATGTCTTGCACCGTGCTCAAATTCATTTCATAAGAATTCTAAGATAATTATATGTAGACACAAATGCAATCTTAGTCTAAGGGCATCTTAGCCCCTTCATCGAACTATCGTCATTGTATGATGGCTAGTGCACATCCCTTTGTTGCATACGAATTATTCGCATGGTGAGACAAGCCACGACTTACTTGAAATGCCAGATTTATCAAGCTGTTACATCTTGCTTGTGGCAAATCTCATCTGAAAATATTTAACTTCTCTTGAATCGAGGGCAACAACTATTCAAATGAGGAGAATTATTATGCATTGTATTTTGTTCAACAAACTAATTATATTATTTTATTGCTTACAATTAAACTTTTGCTTAGTCGTTGACAGACGATAGCAAATCATTGTATTTGGACTTTGGAGGCATGTTAGCACTGCACAAATTCATAGTTGAGGATCACAAAATTGTGGGCTGAAGACCTAGAACGAAATAAATTATGAAGGCTCGATATTGAGGGTTGAGGACCTTAGATCGAATTATGGCCAAAGCCCAAAACCAAGGGTTGAAAACCCAAAACCCATGGTCGAATAGCTAAAGGTTAAATTATGACCATATGATCATAGCGGAAGGTTAAATTATGACCGTGTCATCGTAACAAAAGGTTAAATTATGGCCGTGTGATCGCATATGAAGGCTAAATTATGATCGTGTGATCGTAACCAAAGGCTAAATGATGATCGTATGATCGTAGCTGAAGGCTAAAGTATGATCGTGTGATCGTAGTCGAATGTTAAATAATAACCGTGTGATCATAACCAAAGGCCAAATTATGACCAACTGATCATGGCTGAAGGATAACATACAACTGTGTGAAAGTAACCAAAGGCTAAACTATGATCATAGCCACATGCTAAACTCATGATAATATTTCAAGTCACATGATTTTTTGCAAGAGAAATATTTTTCCTCTATAAACTAAGATGATTCGTGTTTGCAGAGAAAAAAAAGGGGCATATGTGGTGCAAGCATTAAGAGCCAAGTAACTAGCCATTTTTCATGCATGCTAAAAATTGGGGAGTGCGGCTAAAATAAAGCAACATGAATCAACCACTACTAAGGAACATAAAGTGAGATAATGAAACTTGGAGCCCAAGCTTTTTATGACTATAGAAGGCCTAGAATTCCACCAGAACCAGGGGGAGAAAAAGAGAGGCATGAGATCGTTCTATATTTTATCAACATCCTGAACAAAGACTGACTTGAGCATCGAAGTGTTTTTGTACAAGTCCCCTCCACTCTCATTGATAGCGAGGGAAGATGGTGTCTAAGGTTTCTCAATGTGTTCAAGATTACTTGTTAGTTGAGAATTGGAGTACCCAAAATTTTCCACGCCAACACACTCCTCTTACATTTAGCATTCATATTATATAAAACAAAAAAGAATTAAGGGGTCTATATAAGAAAATGAATGTAGAACGAGAAGTGTGTGAAATCACTGTCTATCTTGAAGATAACCTTGATGTATTTTTTTGTGGTAAGCTTGATGGGTTTGAGGTGGTTCTCAACATTAAGCCGTTGATACTTTACGTGTAAATTGAATAAATGTCAAAGTAATGAACTGTAGTGTGACACAATTATAACCTAGCGAATAGTGAAATTGACCATAAACCTAAATGATGTGTATAATACTCAATCTAATATTTAATATTGACAACTTGGTTCAATTTTGATATAAAATTACAAATTAGCCAACTATGTTTTTATATTTACACTACAAAATTTAAAAGAGTAACATATAATAAAATAAACGTTCACAAGAGCTTTCTTCTCTTGAACAACTACCATTTCATCTTTATTTTATGGTAATTTTATTTTATCTACGATAATATTTTACACTTATATAACATGCTCTGAAAGTGCAAGATCGAACTCAACAGGACCCATAGATGATGATGTAACACATGTACACGGTCCATATCTTTTGTGCGAATATGCTGGCCTAAAGCGTTAGCATCCAATGCTAACATAAATTGCAACAGATTTCGGGTGAGAGGGGCAATTCCGTAAAGCAAAAGTCAGTTTCATCCAATTTCCTACCAAAACTGGATGTAAAAAATTTGACAAAAAGGTTACATTTCAAAATCCGCCATGAAAGTAGCTCCTCCAAATTTCTCAGCAGAACCCTAAACAAACAAAAGGGACACCCACCGCAGCCACAGTCTTCCATGCCCAACCTCTACAACCACCACACTCTCCTCCCACTCAGACCCACTTCATTTCAGCTGACGAAATGGGCTCTCTCATCCCAATTATAGACCTCAACAACCTCCCTGAATCCCCCGCCGGCTCCACCCCAAACACCGCCAACTCCGCCGTAGCCTTGAAAGTCCCCAAAATCGAACCAAAGCTCGAACCTTTCGACGAACCACTCGATACCCACCTGCCACAACTGCCCCAGCTGCCTCCAGAACCCTTCATTCCCACACCTACTCCCAACTCTCTCACTAATTCCCAAATTACCCCATTCTCCGACCTGAACCACACCCCTGTATCTGAATCCTCCGCCGCACCTTCCGACCAGGAGAATGTGTACTCGGAGTTCCATCGAATTTCCGAGCTTTTCCGGACAGCTTTTGCTAAAGGGCTCCAGAGTATGGCCGACGGCGAGGTCGAAGTTTTGGACCCGGATGCGCGAGCAATTGTGCCGGTTCCTCAAGAAACCCAGCTATCAGAGGCCGTCGTTGCGCGGCGGAAATACCCCAAGCGGTCCTCCGAGCTCGTCCGGGTCACCGATCTCAACATCGAGGACCAGAGGTACTTCCGTGACGTGGTGAGGAAAACCCGAATGCTATATGACTCGATTCGAATACTATCAGTGGCAGCGGAGGAGAAGCGGAACCCGGGAAACGGGAAGCGAGTCCGAGGCGACTTGCAGGCCGCCACGGCGCTCAGGGATCGTGGGCTGTGGCTCAATCGCGATAAAAGGATCGTGGGTTCGATTCCCGGGGTCTACGTTGGCGATCTCTTTTTTTTCCGCATGGAGTTGTGTGTGGTTGGTTTACATGGCCAAGTCCAAGCTGGGATTGACTATCTTCCGGCGAGCCAGAGCTCGAATCATGAGCCAATTGCAACCAGCATTATCGTTTCGGGTGGCTATGAGGATGACGAGGATGCCGGCGATGTGATTATCTACACCGGTCATGGAGGACAGGACAAGTTTAATAAGCAATGTGCTCACCAGAAGCTGGAAGGTGGGAATTTGGCATTGGAGAGGAGCATGCATTATGGGATTGAAGTGAGAGTTATCCGAGGAGTCAAATGCCAAGGTGGTATTTCGCAGAAGGTTTATGTTTATGATGGCTTGTATAGAATATTTGATTGTTGGTTTGATGTGGGCAAGTCGGGGTTTGGTGTTTATAAGTTTAAACTTCTGAGAATAGAAGGGCAAGGTGAGATGGGTAGCGCTATTCTTAAGTTTGCGGCTAGTCTGAGGACTAACCCCTTGTCTGTGAGGCAGTCAGGTTATCTCAGTCTGGATATTTCTAATAAGAAGGAGAATGTTCCAGTTTTGCTTTTCAATGACATTGATTCTGATCAGGACCCCATTTACTATGAGTATCTTGCGACAACTGTGTTTCCAACACAAGTGTTTCATCAGTCTGGGAAGGGAACCGGGTGTGATTGTATTGACAGTTGTTTTGGTAATTGCTTTTGTGCTATGAAAAATGGAGGCGAGTTTGCTTATGATGACAATGGGTGTCTTTTGAGAGGGAAGCCTGTGGTTTTTGAGTGTGGGCCCTTCTGCCATTGTCCCCCAAATTGCCGGAATCGTGTCACGCAAAAAGGTATGAGAAATAGACTGGAAGTGTTTAGGTCAAGGGAAACAGGTTGGGGAGTTAGGTCATTGAACTTGATACATGCTGGTGCCTTTATATGTGAGTATACAGGGGTTATTCTCACTAGGGAAATGGCTCAAATATTTGCAATGAATGGTGATACCTTGGTTTATCCACATCGGTTTTCTGATAGATGGACTGAATGGGGAGATTTATCTCAGATAGATCCCGGTTATGTACGTCCAACTTATCCTTCGATCCCACCATTGGATTTTGCAATGGATGTATCCAAAATGAGAAATGTTGCTTGTTATATGAGCCACAGTTCCACTCCGAATGTTATGGTGCAGTTTGTACTGTATGATCACAATAATGTGATGTTTCCTCATCTCATGCTATTTGCAATGGAGAACATCCCTCCTATGAGGGAGTTGAGCCTTGATTATGGGGTGGCTACTGTGTCTGAGGCTGATGAATGGACAGGGAAACTTGCTATCTGTAACTAATTTTGATGGGTTGATGATATTTAAATCATGCAGACAGTTACAGGAGTAAGACATACTGAGGTAAAACGAACTCCTTTCTCAGTAAAAGCATTCGTATCTTTCTTATTTTATGGTTATGCGTCAGATCAGCTTGCCCTGTGTTTCTGTGCTTTGTTGTAGCTCTTGTTCAAACTTCGATGTCACCTTGTCACCTATTTATTGGTGCTGGGTGTGTAATTCTTTGTGCAATGATATACTCTAGTAATCATATGGTGAAGCGTACTATTAGGAGGAAGGGAAGGAGCCTTTATTATTTCTCTGTGATGGAGGTGATTTGTCTTGTTACATATAAAAGTTAGTCATGCTAATCTGTGTACTTAGGATTCACCTTTTCTGTTTGCGTTTCTTTGGAGCACGGTTGTTCATTAATTTGTATTGTAGGGTAATATCATGATTCATGGGCCATGATTCTGGCTGTAAATTATACTCACAGGTTTTGTTTTATAATATTTTGAATGCTCAATGATTTTCTTATAATATTCTGAATGCTCGAGGAACAAAAGTTGCTCAATCTCTTTCTTTATTGCTTCTTGTATGTGTCTGGCATAGTGCTTTTAATTTTGTTGCATTAGAAATTGGTGTTTGGACAGTTGCGGGGAATCTAGTTAGTGCTGTATAAATTTTTTACTAGAACAGTTTTTCACCAACATTTAGTTTTGACTGCTGCAGTATGACACTTTCAGTATCAGATATTTCCCATTTCTGTTCATGACCCAAAGGAAACAAATATTCACCAACCCCCTTTTGGGTTATGATGAAAGGGATTTGAACCCTTGACCTAGCCTAATCCTAACCCACTTCCTGACCCTCTCTCACGACTTGGGCTAACCCCAATGGAATAAAATTTCTGTATTAGTAAAACACAACTATTTGGGTTTATGTCTTAGATATTTCTCTCCCGCCGATAAGTTTCAGCTAGAAGGTTTATCGAATGTACTTAACCTCAGTGGCCGTGGATTCCCCTGCTTTGTATTTACTAATTCTTGTCGAATTATGCTTTGCAATAGCAAGACATTTAGTTTAGGATGGCAGACTTGTGTTCGATTTTTAGAAGAGTTAAATAATTTGCTTTTCAGTCCTGATTAGTGGTACTCTCTTTGGTACATTCAAACACATTAAATTAAATATTTTGCCCCCAAAATTATATAGTTTTCAACACACAATGGTAATGACACTATTCCGATATTTTATTTTGCTAGGGTTGTAAGTATTTGGTGCATCTAGTAATTGACCCGTTGCTTTGCATTTGAGTCTTCATGTCATTCTATTATTAATGAGCTCGGATAGAACAATATGGGGTATGGGTATTGAGTGCACTTTTGGGTTCTGAAACCATTTGGGTTGGAGTTCATATGTGAGATATGCAACCCAAGTATTTTTGTGGAATAATTGTACCTTGAAGCAATTGTAGGAGAAACTTTTAAAGAAGATAATTTTGTTAGCAAAATCTTGTACTCTTAATTTCACTTTGTGTTGTAAACGTAATACTTATTATTGACGAAAGGAAAGTGCGATCAAAGTCCACATGGTATACAACCCCCTACCTAAAATACAAACCCACCCACCCCAACCCTGAAGAGAGTGGGTCCATACAAACTGCAATGAAAGTAAGACTGCACTTCCCTATCCCTTGAACGGAGAAAGAAGGGGGTCACTAAATATATAGCCTCGTCCAATGTAACTGAAGCCCAAAATGATACGGCCTAATATATAGCCTCATCCAATGTACTTGGAATCAATTATCCAGCACATAGGAGAAAGCCAGCAAATAGGAGAAAGAAACTATTTGATTAGTGCAGTATTTCTAGTATTTTCTGAAGTGGAGTTTGGTACAGGGAAAGGTAAAAGGGATTCATGTTGAATAGATTTGTGAAAGTCCATTGAAGGGGAAATGCAGTGGTCTACCTATTAGTTATGGTTGAATTTAATAAAGGGAAATAATTTGTGGATACTTGAAATTTACGTTCTTTACCTATGAAATTTGAGTTAATTTAACCATCCTAGAGCTTTAATTGATTGACGGGAACAATACTGAATCATACTTCTTGCTTAGATACACTCTAGAAGCATCAGATTAGTGTTAGATAGCTGTACATTATATCTATCTAACTCCTACTTGTGTTTGTTTAAAAAGTTGCGGTGTAAAGACAAAAAGTGCTTTAGCATGTTTAAAAAGTTGGAAGGCAGAACACAATAAGACTCATGACATTGAGCAGCTGTGGTGTTTGTTTGGGGTATTTTGAAGTTATTTACTTAAGTTGTGCAAATTAATGCTAGGCTACAACTAAATGTAAACTTACTAAATGTGCATCGGGATTTGGGGAAAGGGTACATGTATGGATTTGCCCATAGAATAACCTTGAAATTCTTTGGAAAATATCCTTTGGCTGCTTCAAAATGTACCAATTAGTATTCAGTTTCCTTTTTTGGTTACTAGTATTCAGTTTCTTTCATCAATGCTATATGCTAGTTTAATATATGTGTGTGTCTCTACATATACAAGGAAAAAGGATGCCCGCAGTTCGTGAAAAGTGTGAACTTAAGTCACCCTGCAATTAATTTTTAATGATTCCGACTGTTACGTTCTCTTTCAATGGATTACCCTTTAAAAAGTTTAGTGAAATAGGAAACCATTTAGTTATCTAAGTATGATAAAATAGATAAACGAACACAACGTTTCTGATAAACATTGAAATGTTGATGATGATAATCAAATGGCTAACAATTTCTGATTTGGGTAAGTTTTTGTAGAGATGAGATTTGGAGCTTTTCTCATTGAGATTAATGATAGGTTTCATGTACATGAAAATTATACAAGTTTTCTCTGTATTCCCTGCACGTGTCATATCAATTAAAAGAAACAGTGATGTCCTCACACCTCTGCACCAACACTTTAGTTACAGATGACATCTTGTCATCTGAATTGGCTTAACCAAATCATTAAACCCAAATCTGAAAGTCTTGCTTGTGATATTTTGCCTGTGGTAGGAAATTAGGAATCAATGTCAGATTCATGTTTCTCTGTGACAAAGTCATTACTATTAAATTTAAAGTTCTGTAAAGTTTTTGAGGATTATAATAGAGTGTGGGTAGCGGAACTATGGGGTAGAGTAAGATACTGGGCAGCCCTCTGGGCTTCAGTTTCAAATGAGTTCAGGGATAATTCTCTTTCTCATGTAGTGTGGGATATGTTAGCAGCCGTAAAGTTGAGGTTATGTTACTTGTAAATAGATCTACTTGAGAGGTCTTAGCTAGTTTTGCTAGATGGTGGATTTCTTATCCACTAGTTTGTAATTCATGTTATTATTTTAGTAAAGTGATCGTTTCTTCTTAAAAATAAAAACAAAGTTCTGTATAGTTCATTGCAATGGACTAGAATATGCAAGAACTTATTAAATTCTTGTTGTTTGTTAAAACTGATTTCTTTCCTGTATTTTTTTTTCAAAACCAATCCATTGTTTAGGTTTGTCAAGCTATAAAATCTTTTGCAAGTGAGGTTCCAAATTGTGTTTCATTACAAGACGATAACATTCAGTTGGCTGCACTGCAGATGGTGAATACAGACACACGTGAGTGCACACACATAACTTGTTCCAGGGAGCAGGTGCATGTCTTTTTTAAAATTTACCAATTTATTGAATATGGATAAAGTGAGGGAGCCGTGCGAATCATTCTATGTGAGAGAATTACGTGTTTAGAAAGGGAAGTTTTAGTAGAGTTCAATAAATTGAGCAGCTTCTTGGAGTTCTCTTTTGTTTAATGCTGCAGTTCTATATCTATTTATTGTAAATAATTTTAACCAAAACTTTTCAAACGGAAATGTATTCTATCGGCTGAAAAATTTGTATCTAGTGACTATTTCTGTAGTATTTCCCTGCTTTTTAAGTTGTAAATAATTCATTAATTTCTGTATATGATACATTGTGCATACTTGAAATCTTACCGGTCTGTACCGTTTGTGCAACAGGATCTGAACCCATTAGTCGGTTTTCTGTTCGATATTATTTTCTATTATCTTGTTATGCGGGTGTATACATAGAAAACGATGTTACTGGATGTGTTTGGTTATTGTTACGTACTCACGATTGCATTCAAAATTTAGGATAGCCAATGGTCTTTGGAGCTCTCTAATAGTTTCCTTATTCTGCAGGTGGCATTCAGACTACATTGTTGTGGTATCTGGCTTCCTAATTTTCTGGTCCATGAATGTTTCTTCACAAGTAGATGCCGAAAGTGTAAATTTTTCAATCAGATTATCCAAAAGCATTGACATGGCTCATGTACATGGCAATTGAAGTCGCGAGCTGTTGAAAAAAAGAAGTGAAAACTCGCTGACCGAGCCACCACCATATGCTGCTGTGATGATTTGCTGACATTTTAGGCATTTGCCTGTTTCGCGGACATTTCGGACCAAGTCTTCATACACGCAACTGATAGTAGGCATCTTTAGGTTCGGTAAGTTTGTAAGCACAAATGTACTAATCTTCTGTACTTGTAGCGTTGTATATGTTATCACAGACCGAAATAGCTAAACTTTGTACAGAATTGTATAATTAGTGCCTACATGTATCACGTATGTTTGGATAGATCGGTTTTCTTTAATTCCTTGATTAATTCATTTGTAATGGAACATGAAGTATTGCGGATTTCACGTAACTTGAAAGCATGCATAAACTGCTGCATTCATGTAAGTTGTAAACTTGAAGCAACCGGCACGTCTGAAGAAATTACGTGCCGTTGTGCTGCCTAAAACTCCCATGTCGATGGACAAATTACGAAGGTAAATACAACATTGGTAAAACTTTTGTATCATCATATATTTAACACCTTGTTTGTTATACAAACAGAGTTGTAATATACACATTTCGGGATGACTTGGTATCCCAATTTCAGTATAAAGTGAACAATACTTTGTGAAGTACATGGCTCAGGCCCGAGTTGCGAGCGTTCCATTTTTCTCTAGTTGACGTAGTCTTGCTCGTTCCATCTTTCGTTTACGCCACTCTTCCAGGGCTGCAGAACATTATGTATATCGGTAAAATCTAGTTAATAACAATAACAAATAATTTGACAATTTTAATGAAATATTTGCTGCAAGGCTAGTATTTACACAAGAAACCATAACCATTGAATCCATCTGCTCTAATGTTACGAGGAGTGAAGGACGTTTGATGAGTTCTCTGAAAGATTGGTTCACATCCAACTTAAAATGCAAGCAACTATCTGATTTTCATAAACTATAGCGGACACACACAAGTAACATACAAGAACGACAGCCGTTTCAGAGCTTCACAATGAACAAAATATGACATAGTTTCACCTCTGAAGCTGGTTGCATCATTAACATAATGCAGATCCTTCAATCTCTTGGAAAGGTCAACTGCAACGGTCTGCCTTGTGTCTTTCTCTTTAGTTGTTTCTGGTTTTTCATATGCTTCTTGTTGGATTTCCTTCACCTGAAAAGGGAGGAAATTAAAAGAGCATTCAATGGTACACAAAACCATGAATTGCACGAGGTTAACTATTTGCTTGATATCGAAAAATTTAAAAAAAAAAAAAAAACAAGAAGTTCCAATTTCAATTGAAAGTGCACTTAACATCAGGCAGGCAAGCAGTCAAACATTGGTTCAGTTTGTACATGGGCTCCCTCCATTTCATTTGTGAATAGCAGAAGAATTATAACCGACGCATAATAGTTCTAACACTGAATCAAACTTACTCTTTTTATCAGTTCCAAGGGTCGCATAGCAAAACGAATTTCTTCAGATTCTCTTACATACCTAAGTGCAGCTGCACACGCACAGGAAAAAGACTAAAGCAAACCAACTTAAAGTCAAGAATATATCATAATCATATTACAGCATCATCGGGATTCAACGTGAAAACGGAGTGCCGGCTGTTGACTACCTGATGCACATGAAAAAACAATACTTTCACAGGTTTATGATTATAATATATTTAACCTGACATAACGAACGCATCATAGTTTAACAACACCATACTGCTTAAATCAAAACTGTACCTTTTAGTCACTCAAATACAGGTCTCATGCTATTATAATGCTTCATTAATGAAACGCCTTCACAATGACCACTTGGACCACTTTTCCATTAGAATTTACTCATTATTACCATCAAGTTAAAACCCATCATCCAGTCTTGAACCAGGGTCATATAGATGTAAAGGGAAAATTAAAAAAGAAAACCTACAAGGTGTACGTCACCAGTTGCACAATTTTAATCCTAAGATTTTAATTGATTTCAAGTTGTATACATCCAAGAGCTTACTGGATTTTGAATTGTATACCGAGCTCTATTGATGCAGGCCAAGGACTAAAGGCGTTATTGCATAAAATTACTGGCAGCTGGGATTTAAGTTTTATAATATAATACATGCATTTTTAGAGTTATAATGCATGTATCTAGCTTTAAATTTGTGGCTTATGGAATTCCTAGGTTAATGACATTTTATGAAATCATTTAGTTTTTTAGGAGTTATATTGTAAACCTTTATTTTTTGTCTTTTCATATTTTTCACCTTAACTTGTATTTGTAAAGAAGAAGGGGAGAAGTTGTTTGAATTATCATATTGATATTTGAGTTGTAAACTCGTTTTTATGTGCCCGTCTCTTTGTAAGAGTCTGCTGCTTTGTTCTTTCTAGTGTCTACGTTGTAGGCTGGTACTAGAACCAAAGTTTATAGGGTTTTCAGACCTCTCCTTGCACTAGGAGATAGTGGACCCTACCTATCCATTCTATCTATCATTTTAATTCATTTCTGTCCGCTGCGCCCTGCATCAGTCCCTTTGCCATCTAGGGATGCGAGTTGATTGGTGAGACCACATGGATCATTCCCACAGATAAAATGCTAAAGGAAATGGCACTATAATCAATAGTAGGTGGTTTAAGCCTAAATCGCAGAAAAATTGACCCGAAAAAGTGAGTAATGAAGTACAAGTAACAGCCTATGATCATGTTTCGAGGAAACAAACACGGGCACACCACTATGAAATATATTTCTACAGGACAGCTAAATGACCCCTCTAAAATACATTTACCTTAGGAGTTCGGACAAGTAGACAAGATAATCCAAGGTCTTCGCTGATCTAAACAAAGTGTAAAATTCTACAAACTCTTCTCCAAGAAAGCAAGATAAACTTGGAAGGATTTTGACTTTCAGTTCCACTATTAAATTTCATGGCTTTTCAGTTTTCAATAACCTCCATATGCGATTTAATTTTCAAAACTGAAGCTGGTCCGATCCAGACTAGGAAGATAACCTCACAACATTGCAACTTAAAGATAAAGTTAAAAAAAACCAACTGTGAACTGTACTAAAATACTAAATTTCAAGCACATTCGGAACCTTCGAAGATCAACATAAAGCTGCACCAACAAGATCACAATACAATTAAACCACTAAACCCCACATTAGAAATCCTAATTCCCTAACCTCAAACGAAATGGGTCACAAATCCAATCAACAACAAGAAGCAAATGATGGTTAGCAAGAAAAAACCAGAAAATTTTCAAAAAGTGAGAAAATTTAGATAAAGAAAACCCATTGCCAGCTTGTAGAGAGAGAGAGAGGGAAACCTGAATTGAGGTGAGAGGCGGAAAGTTCGGAGCGAGAAGAAGCGGAGGAAAGAAAGCCCTGAAGCAGTAGAAGCGCCGTAATCAGGTTGAGCAAGCACATCATTATGGTGGCGATCCTGAACGAGAGCCTCGGCAGCCATGATTGCTGTCCCTCCATCGGATTTTTGTTTGCAGTCTCTTTTGGTAATTAGCTGCTGATTGAGCTGGTACAAATTAGTAGGCAGGGAGGGAGAGGACAGAAAGAGACGAATAGGGTTGATTCGGTATGGGATGCCAAACCGAAAATGGGATCCCAAATTCCAAATCAAAAATTTTTGGGATGGAAATTTGAAGACTAATCTCAAACCAAAATTTTGGTATTTTCAATTTTTTGGATTCTTAAAATATTTTTGGTATTTTGTGATGGTTGGTATTTCTAAATTTCATACAATTTGAAATAGCAATCATCCATACCAAGTTAAATTAACATGCAACCAAAATAAAATAAGTAACAAACCCAAAATAAAATGAAAAATAAGTTACAAATCTAACATGTTCGAAAACTAACAATACAATTTTTTTGATTTTGTGTTGAAGAAATAGATACATTTGTTGGAGGTTCATACTGGTAGATGTTGCGATAAAGGGCTATAGGTACTACTTGTAGACCACACTAATTATATTGTTACTAGTAGTTAGCAACAGTTCAACTGTATAATAATATACATACATATATATGATTTATTTTCGGATATGGAATTACCGAAAGATTGAGTAAACAATGTCGAATCTCGTATTGAAATTTTGGGATCAGTTCGGTATTTTATCCCAAAAATTTTGAAAATTTTGGTTTGAAATCAGGATTTTTTTGGTTTGGTTCAGAATTTTCGGAAACTTTTTCCAGCCCAGAGACGAAGATCAACAAAAAGAGAGCGGGGTCTACGGCATAATTGTGACTCCAAAATTGTCCTTGACCATTCACTTTCACTTGATTTCTACTCAAAGTCAACCAATTCCAAATTAGAGGTAGGTCCTTTGTTTTGAGACAAGAAAAATATGAAAACAAAATTAAGAATGAGGAATGTGTAATATGTGTGATTGTCTAAATCATTTGTAGATTGTATTTAGGATAATATAAGATCTTTTCCTTTTAGGATTGTACATTTTTGCAATGCAAGGAATTCTCATTGATTTACTATAAATAAAGGCACAAGGTATGAGGGAATAGCACACGAAGTTCCTCAAACCTATTCCCCATCTCTCTTCCTCTCTACCACCCCTCTCATTCTCTAAAATAGGTCATAACACGTTATGATGTTGCGCTAAAGAGAATTCATTCATCTTCAATCACGGGAGTACCACGATTCAATTATTCTTATGTAATTAAATTTTGATTTTATTGAGTTCATATACTTGTATTGATTCAATCTATTTTTTATGTTGAAACAAGATACAACATCCTTTGAAGATGGAAATCCAAAATCCGAAGGAGGAACTCCTAGAAACCCTAAACCTTAATTTACCCCTTTGTGTGGCGGAACTTGGGTGGTTCGTCGGCAAACATTTACACAATACGCGGTATTTTTCCCCTTGGCCCCAAAACGTTACCTTACATATGTACTCTTGCCCTACGAAAAAATTTCATTGTGCAAAGCCTTGGGCGAAACCCTAAATGTTGACCAAATTTCCCGACCAACGTAAATTTTCTTCTAGTAAACAAAATTGACCCAACTAAATATGGTTTGTCGGGCAAATAGTATTTTCTAGGGGTGGATTCAAAAAACTAAAAACTGAAAAAAACCAAACTGAACATCGAACTGAAACTGAAAAATCGAAAACCTAAAAAAAACTAAACCAAAAAAGAAAAAATTGAACCGAACCTTATTGGTTCGGTTTCGATTTGGAGGTTCGGAAACCGAACCAAACAAAACTGAATCCCTTTACACTGTATGAATGTATGCCCATGATGTTTCTTTTGTGAAACTTTGTTGCCAAGTTTTAAACTAAGCCTAG